TCTCGAATTGAATGTGAATAAACGAGCCCAACTAACAAGAACCAAAAAAGTAGTACGTTTATTTAATATTCCCTGGTTGTTAGTGTACTGTAACTGCGATCAATCCATGATGTGAACTATATGCTAATTCAATCATTCATCTAGACGAGAAAGTAATGACGATTGACTAATACCAAGCGTAATACAAATACAAGTACAGACTTCTTACGTTTGATTATTCTTATGAAATATCAAAGACATTTGTTGTTGAAAGTGCTATAAAATGAAAACGCCCGACAATTTTTTTATAAACTGGCATCGATAGCAAACGTATCTCAAAGTCAAAGTAGATCAAACATGGACAAATGGACTTTGGAATAATAACAATAATAATAATAACTGATTATCTAGATTACGTAATGAGAAGTGTTTAAATAATTAATTATTGGACAATATGAATGGAAAGTGGAAAAAGTAGAAACAGATAGGGGATATGAAAAAATTATTAATCCCATGTGATATGTCGTATCCAGGGCTGTCAGGAATTTTCTCTCGATAAATATACTAGAATTATAGGTTCGGAACCCTACAGGTTCCGCTATATGTAGGGGACGGGATCTAACCTCATTGGAAAGTGAAGGAAGCATACAATAGAACACTACCGTATGCCTATTAAAGACTAGATACGCAAAGATAAAGCTATGTAGTGTCCTTGTCTGGCCCTTTACAAATCGAACTCAGAGATGTTCACTTATATGTTCGTTTAGTTACCTAGTAGTATAGTCGATAAAGCTATCTGCACAGGAACAAATGAACCTCCTAATCATCTTGTACTCATTATCGTTACATCAAGCTGAAATCTGTTTCACAACTCAAATATGATCAAAAAGAGAATAATTAAAACAGATTAAGTTTATTCCTCACCACCACCACCAACACCACCCCCATAAACACACATAGAATACAATCATTAATGCACTCATTTGATGAATATTGATTTGTACAAATTTGTGCTGATTTCCTGGAAAAAAAATAACAACAACAACACTATCATCACATATCACAGGAAAATACACAAAAAAACAACAAAAGAACTTCATACCACATGTTATAACATCAAAAAATCAATAGAAAATTGAGTAAATTAATGCAGTAAAATACGATTGAATGAATATTCTCAAAATAAATTAACATTCTAATAATGATCAATAATAAGTGTTGAGGACAATAGATCGATCCCCAAACTCATATTTTTAAATTTTATTTTATCGATCAACTTATCGATTAAATGTTTAAATATTTTTATTGGGGTCAATTGATGAACTTATCCATTAAATGTTTGAATGGCATTCAGTTGATGAACCTATCGATTAGATATGCAAATAGGTCAATTGATGAACTATCGGTTAAATGGGCAAATAGGTCAGTTGATGAACTATCGATTAAATGTGCAAATAGCGGTCAATTAATGACAAATGACCTTCTTTATCCTATAAAAAAAAATCATGAAAAATGATTGCCCTAGTGTGATCGTCGAGCCATCTAGCGTTACTACAGTTTTTGGCATAAGATTATAGTTGAATAACAACATGTCAGATCATGACTTTCAAAACACTCAGATCACTGAGGTTCGTTCTATTACATCCATTTTCAGGAAGTATATTCAATGATTGATGGGTTAATTAACTTTAACACTTTCATCAGTCTCAAACAAACTGAACAGGTTGTCAATGTAACAATTGATAAATTTAAATAACAGGCGTAAATACTGTTTGTAGGCTTTACATTATTCATTTATGAGAGTTATCCAAAGAAGTTTACTACTGATGGATGATATTGCATATTCCATGTTCATTTATATAAGACTCAATCAGTTAGTTCGTCATAATGAATATTAAACTTGTCTAAAGTGGTACAAACACTCTTTAAAATATCTCCAGATGTCACGATGATTGCTTTGACTAGTCATTGCGAAATATGGGAAAAACGCTTTATTCCAAAGGTTCGTATACCTACAAAAAATCTAGGGCTTTATAGCATAGTATAGATATTTAAACCGGATTGTCCTGACGACTGTAAGCGGCATGTTTTCAACTTTTCCTCTGTTATGCTCTCCGATTCTTGATTCGACAGTATGGGAAATAGTTATCCATTTCGGTATGTTTTCCTGAAGTGTTGTAGTAGAGTGACTACTATAGAAAGTGCAACACATAGGACTAGTTTACGGATTATTATTTTTATGTTTATTATATGATCCATTATTAATTGTATTAAGGTAGTTCGTTCAACATTTTACTATCATCCGTCATTCTTGCTAAGTAATTACATAATAATTCTATACTAATTATAACCTGATAATATGCAAGGTACACTTCGTATTTGAGATCCCTTGATGTCCGATAAGCTAATAAGTGTTTAAGATAAATGCTGAATTGTTGAAATATAAAGCTAGAAAGTTGGATACAGTTCGACATTTCCTGACTGAAGGCTAGAAATCGACAGATCAATAGGCGTTTAGATTAAGTTAGGCACGCGTCATCTTTAATCATGTCCGTTGCAACGTATGATTGGTCATGAATAATAATGCTCAGCTATAAACGGAATACTATCTTAAGTGATGTTGGGATTGGTAAAGAAGGAAAGCATTCCTACAGTTAAAGAACATGTGGAACTCAAAACAACTTTCAACCAATATCAAAGTGAGAATCTTCAATACCAACGTCAAGGCAGTTCTACTGTATGGAGCTGAAACTTGGAGAACTACAACAACCACAATCAAGAAAATACAAGTATTTATAAATAGCTGTCTTCTCAAGATACTCAACATCCATTGGCCGGATACCATCAGCGATAGCCTTCTGTGGGAAAGAACAAACCAACTTCCAGCTGAAGAAGAAATTATGAAAAGACGATGTAAATGGATAGGACATACATTACGCAAATCGTCAAACTGCATCACGAGGCAAGCCCTAACGTGGATTCCTGAAAGGAAGCGAAAAAGAGGAAGGCCGAAGAACACATTACGTCGGATAATAGAAGCAGATATGAAAACGATGAATTACAACTGGACGGAGCTAGAAAGGATTACCCAGAACAGGGTTGGATGGAGAATGCTGGTGAGTGGCCTATGCTCCTTCACGAGGAGTAACAGGCGTAAGTAAGTAAGTAATATGTTGGGTGTGTATCCGTGTAGACTTTATTATTTGACTATATGCCTATTTGTTGATTAGTTATTGGTAAGACGAAATAAAATGAAGTGACTGTTTTGACTGTGATAACTTTTTCATGGTTTGGTATTTCTTCGTTATGATGTGTGCTAATGATGTCGACAGATATAAGTAGTATGTGTATCATCAATCGAAAGTGAAATGTCTGGAGGGAGAATGTTAAGAAGATTGAAGAAAAAGAGAATGAGGACAGAGAATGATTAGTGTGAAATCAAAAGAGGTATGAATTCTCAGACGGTTGACTGATATTTTGCAAATGAAGTATTTACTGCATAGTTCTCAGATTTTACTGATGCATCTTGTATTTTTGTGTCCAAAAACATTTGATTGTTCCCACTTGTGTTCTTGTTCACTACAATATCACTAATAATACGGCTGTGACGAATACAGATACATTTATCTCGTGAGTTTGTATATATTTATATATATATGCCTAAATGCCCTGGTACGGCCGAGTGTGGGGAGAGTCAGTTCTTCCTCTCAAAATTCTCTCAGATGGCTATTTGCATACAACCACTACTAGAGATGTCCTACTCACTGCCTTGTCACAACAGGGATATTGTTTACGACATTGAGAGGACGAAAATACAATATCTGGCACTTTGACCGGGTTGTTGGACACGGATTCCACACCAAGAGTTCACATGGCCTACAAGAACCTGAATGAACAAATGACTTATGAACCAATCGTTGGTCACCGGCTACCATGTGACTGAATCTCCTGACGTTGCTCCACTGTTATATGGATCAGACCTTAAGGTCGAAGGCTCGAGGTGTGGCTCCACAGGAAAACTGTCTGTTTCGAGCTGTTTACCCGAACAGTATCCCAGTCCCCACACAAATCGATTGATTTATGTGGTGCATGTCTATTTGATGCCTCCTTGAACCAATGTTTATGTGTTTAAATAAATAACTAGATGAAATAAATGATAGAGGGTGGAATAAAATTCATCATTATATTTAGGTCTTCACGTATTGTCTATTTGTATTTGTCAACAATTGATGTTCGTATAAAATTTAAAAATTCGTTCTGAAATGTTGCATTATTTTGTATAGTTTGTGGGTACACATAAGTCAAAGTACTGTTACCTTACGAATCTATCCATGAAATTAATGGACATGGTTTCTTATCGATAAGGTCAGCTTTTTCAATGTAATTTAACAAAACCAAATCATGATTATCGGTTTATGATCTCAATCAAAAACTTAACAATCTTCACAACCCTATTCTGATAATTACCATGTGCTGACTAGTGACTAGCTTCATGAGGGAATTCTTGGAGTTCTAGTGAGAAGCCGTGACTAGTGGAGCTAATTCATGTCGGGTAGAGAGAGGAATCGACCTCAGTACAATGGAAGATGGTCGTGCAATTTTGTGGATTGGTTGAGGTTAGATATCAACACCGTAAGATGCAGGCAAGCTCAGTGGTCTAGTGGTTAGGCGTTCGCGCGCGAGACTGATGGACATATTTCACTTGAATCGCACCACATGTTGTCAGTGTAAACACTAAAGCTTTACATACACTGACAAAACAATATATACTGACATGTGAGATCCACATGACTATAATAAACAAGAATATTTTATGTATCGACATCATTACTACCTGCTATTAATATAAGATTATCATAACTTAATTAACGTCAAAGTTGTATATGATGATCAATCCACATGTTATTTCATATCTCAGTTTATCCTGGTCATGGTCCATAATCATCTCATTCAACCACCATATTTCATCAATTTAGTAGATACACACAATTCGATAGAAATAGTCTTAGAATATCACCTTGTTATCATTAACCAAATTTATTTCAAGTGTATTGATGTAAATACAAAAAATAAAAGATAATCCATTCTATTGAATGAAGACAAAGAATAACCCATCAACTAAATGATTGAAAGAACAACATCAAATGATTGGTTCTTCAATTGAATCTATTGGAAACATGATTCATGTAATTTAGTATATTGACGGTAAACTGACACGAATTTATCATATAGTTCCCACTCTACAAATAAAATTACAATTCAGTAGAGAATCACCATGATTATGTAATTATAGTCAGTGATAGCATGATAAGTGAACCTAATGCTTCATAATATTGTGCTTCAGTGTTTTGAAGTATACACATAGTTCATTTAGACAAGTAAATCATGAGTACCTAACAAATAGTCCTAATTGGAACTTATCAGGATGAAACCTCTATTGGCCATATAGTCAATGAGAAGATTCAAATATCACAGATTGAAATCATGAGTCAGTTGAAGCTAAACCACCATGGAAAACCTGGAAGCACTGAACGGCTGTTTCATCCTAGTATGGGACTCGTGATTTCAATCTGTGAAATTTTTAAAATCTGCCCGAAACCCATTCTGATAATAATCAAGTGCTCACTAGTGACTGACTTCAGGAAAAACTCCCGAAGTTCTAGTGAGAAGCCGTTACCAGTGGAGTACAACCAGGTTTGTTGTGAGATAGGAACTCACTGAAGACAATGGTGTATGGTGGCGCAACTTCGTGGATTGGTTGAAGTTAGACATTAACACCGTTGGATGCCGGCTCAGTCGTCTAGTGGTTAAGTGCTCCCGCGCGAAGCCGGTAGGTCCTGGGTTCAAGCCATGCGTGGTGCGGGATCGTGGATGCGCACTGCTGAGGAGTCCCATACTAGGATGAAACGGCCGTCCAGTGTTTCCAGGCTTTCAATGGTGGTCTAGCTTCAACTGACTCGTGATTTCAGTCTGAAATTTCTAAAAATCTCCACAAAACCCATTCTCATATGATTCAAATAACCAATAAAAAAGTAATCTGAACTTTACACCATTTCATGAGCTAATTGCTAGCTTCACTCAGTAGATAAGTAGAAATCGCGATGACGTTTGAAGCGAAAGATAGTGGGTTCGAACATAGAAGTGAACATCAAATCTGGGATATAGGTATATCACGCTGATGATTCCGAAATTCGACGAAAATTGCATCCTGGATTCCAGTGCTAGTCACTATCCATCTTTGCTTAGAATGCTTGTGAATTAAGACAATATCGGGGTAATCCTCACAGGATGCATATCTGTCAGTGGGCGACTGATCAATTTTAGTCGTAAACATGACTATTGGTAGAAGGTATGTCGGAAGTTTCAAACATTATAGTTCGTGTCTCCTGTTTAATTGTACATCATATGTAACTGGTACAAGATGATGAGTTGAAAGTCGATATCTATGAATTATGATACGAATTTAATTACATATTAACTTACGTTTAAGAATGACATCTGATTGATCAATGTACTCAGTTGGTATATATTTCGCTTTTACATCATCTGGTTTTATATGATGATTAATATGAATAAGTTTTGGTTGTTTAACAATTGTTGCATAATTACGCTTTTTCAATTCTGCATAAGTTAACCAACTTACAGGACATCGTTGTTCATCACTTCCATCACTTAATTGAATATTCCATTCACATGGAATCTCATATAACATGTATTTGAATTCGAATAATATTAAGTTTAAAATATCCTAAAAAGTGGATAAGGAAACGAATAAATAAGTGACGATGTTTGAAATAAGCTGGTGTTAAAACACTTGTATATTCTATAAATCATGGACTGTAATGAACAAATAAGTATTGGCTAAAAGGGGCATCAATTACATATGCACAGTCAGTTGATCTATGTGGATGCTGGGATAGTGTCTGGGTGCCCATACCAGAGCAGGTGGCTTTCTTAGAGGGCCATACCCCGAACCCTTGACCTAAAGGACTGATCCATAAGGCAGTGGAGTAACTTCAAAAGATGCAGTCTCATGGTAGCCATTGACCAACACTGGGTTCATACGCCATTTGTTCACTCAGGATCCTGCAGCCCATGTGCACCGCTGGTATGGAATCATGGTTTCCCAACTACCTTAGGTGGATCCTTCTTATCCACCAACCCGGTTAAACCACCGGATATTCGCTTTTCATCCTCTCAGTTTCGTAAACAACATCCCTGGTGAGAGAAGGCAGTGAGTAGAACTTCCCTGTCAGTGGTGGTATGCACGTGAACAAGTTTGAGTATTTCGAAAAGGAGAGCTGACTCTCACCACTCTCGGTCGTACCAAGGCATTCGGGTGCCAATGTAATGAATATGTTATGCCCTCTCGTTTTCACAATGTGATGAAATCTCAATGTTGTCCATTAAACAATAGATTTATGGTACTTTTATGATTTCTATAACTAACTATTGATATGTCTATTTCTATCAATAAATTACAGTTGACTTGTTAGTATACACATGATATTCAGAGATGGTATGGAATACTTAATACTCTGATGGATGATTTTTATGGAGTTTCGTTTATCTGAACTAAAAGATTGAGTCGTGGATATTCTCGTTCTTTGGTCTGACTCTTGATCATATATTTCTCAATGATTTTTCTGGTTGGTTATTAAACTGCATCGATGGTAACGTGTTTGTTGATTGCTAAGCTCCTACAAATTCGCTGGCGTTCTCATTATTCCCTCCTACCAAGATTTTGACATTTTTCCACTCGAATGTGTGTCCACAATTGTCCACATACATTTATGTAAGTGATAACTTATAAGTCACGATATAGTATTTATTCTTGTGTATAATGTGGAGTATATAGGTCTCTGACCAGTGGGTCCTGTAAATCCATTTAAATTATAGTTGTTGAGAGTGGAGGTCCAGTTCTTTCGTTTGCTAAGTTAAAAGCTCTTTGGCTAAGAAACTCAGTTATTTTGTAATTCTTCAAGGCCCATCAATCCTGATGTAATTCCAAAATGATGGTCATAAACTGTGTTCCACATCACGATGTGAGGGTAGTCGAAACGATATCTGATTGTGTTATGAGCGTAAATATAGTATGTAATCAATAAACCACTTCCCGTCATGATAGGAAGACGCAAGCATTCAAATAGAATATCCGGCTGCGTGACGTTGTACACTTTCCATGACTAGTGTAATAATTTGACGATATTGATCTCCCTCCATTCATTTCTAATATATGGTTGAGCTCCGAAGTGACATCAGTACTCTGGTAATTCGCTTTGTGGATATAATTTTCTCCTCCTAATAAGCTAGTTGAGATTGTAATTATGTGCTACTGTTTAATAGTGAATGAATTTGTTTCTCAGTAGTCACACTGATGGAACTACGTAGTTCGTAGAGTATTATTCAATTTCTTCTCGTTTGCCGGATCAGTAATCATTAGAATGGTGTCATTAAGATATTATGTACCTTAGAAACGCGTGTTTGGTAGAAATTTGCAAATTGGTATCTTCATATAGGTATTGAAAATCATTAAAAGTAGTTACAATTAATATGTAAGAAGTTTGAACCTACCTGTTCACCAGTGGTTAGGTAACCTTGTTTTGCAAGAGCTCTTTTAGTTTTGTTCATCCATAGATGATTCCAATTGGTTGATCGTATTTTAGACAAATGAAGTAACAGAACACCGTTGTTATATCCGTAACCCTAAAATAATCATTATGCATATGATCCACCATACTATGCACAGACGAAGTAAAGTTGATTGCACAGACGTTGATGTTCTAGGTATTCAGCTATAGCACTGGCCTAACGGCAATCAGTATAAAAGCTATTTAGAACGTTTGATTATGTATTATAACAGTCCTTTAATAATCTAAACTATGAGGTAACTACGCATCTCACTGAGATAATCATAATTCCTCAAGATTCTGCATATACCTTCCAGTTTACAAGTACTGAATTACACAAAACTCGTTTCCAAGATGTTCTTGTCAATCAAAGTTTAATAGGCTGGTAAGTACATTTCGACGTGATGGACACAATTCAAATATCACTACAAAACAAATAAGGTTTTCACAAGTTCTGAAATAAATCATCTACATCCATGACTGCAATCTGATATAAATAAGGGAGAAGTAATTAGCTTTAAATGATTATTGCTTGATAAAAAGCAGGTAGTGCGGGAACATAATGGAGAATAGCATGTCTTGGATTTTCGCGCGAATTCAATTCATGTACATGGTTAAATAACATTTTGACATTAAAGCTGATTGCAGTTCGTGATAAAAATCTTCGTTTTCATTCTTAAGCTTAAATGCTAACTCGACATCCGAATCGTAACTCCTCACACTAATTTATAATCTCATTTCGACACTTTGAAGTAGGTGAGCTGACTCCACCTGTAGCTCTTCTAGAGTTAGTGCTGGTCCGAAGCCTGGGTAAAAGTGTAGGGTTGGGGATGAGGTCGGAAACCCTAACCCGTAGAAAAATTCTCTCCAAAAGAACGCAAACTGGATTAAACATATAGGTGAGCTGCGTCTAGGTTAATTCATAGTCGCTCACAATTCGTCCATAAATTATAGTCTCAGTGCAATTGTTCTTAGAAATGACAATGATATACAAAGTGTAAATCGTTGCAAATGTTATGATGTATGAAAATGTTTAGACTTACTTTTCAGTTGCTTTCTAATCTGGTCATAACTTTTTGAAAATATGGATTTTGTTCTAATCCAATACCTATGCTCTTTGAAAAATACAAAGACATGAAGATTTGAAGTTCGTCAGAAGTATAAATTTGAAACGATCATCAGAAAATATCCTTCAGTAAACTTGATACACACAAAACATTGTCTAGCTGAAGTTGAAAGTTTAGTCTCAATTTGAAATCAACTGTGAAATTAATGAAGAATGTAGAACGCTGACCAGTATTACGTTAGGAATACTCACCAATGACTAAATGTCAAAATTAAACATGCATTTCAGATATTTATTTCAGACGGCTGAGCTGGAACCAAATTATCAATGATATTTCTGGCTTTATTAGCTGATTCATTGCCTGACACATTCAGCATTCAACCTAATAGGTAATAGGTATCCCAACTTCAACATATTGAATTAGTTAAATCATTTAACACACGTTCATTTGACTATTACTTCACTTCATTACTATGGTATTATGTTCTATAGTAGGAATGATGTGAATGGGGATGGCTGGAAGAAAGTTAGGCGTTGCCAAACCAATATGTGGTATCACACCTTGAGATCACTAACTTTCAGCATTAGCCATGTTGATAGATGCAGACTACTTGGTTGTGTTGCGCGCGACTATCGAAACCAATGGTTGGAGACTGTGTGACATGGCTCAGAATTTATCACAATGGCGTAGGTGTATACACTCTACATCTCCCCTTAAAATATGAGATTAAAATCGCTTCATATCTTTCTTTCTTCCTGTACTATATCATTATATGCAATCTTTCTTTTATAAACTACCACCATTGAATTGACTACTATGAGTCCGGCGTTCATCTTACTGTATTAATGAGGTATGGCAACTTGGACCGATACATATATGTGCCTGATCCTACGTTGTAGCTGACTGACTGAATGACCGACTGACTGAGGATTGATACAGTGTGTACATGCTTAACACTTGCTTATCTCAAACCAGGCAGTGTAAACGTAGTTATAATCAGCAAATCTTGTTAATCTCAAAACAAGTGTATAATTGTATTGAATGACCTCAATAGTGAATGGTAACCTGAGGTGACATTGTATTCTAATTGTTTATGATCATGTGTTTTCTCCGATTTTATTGATTTGTTCGTAAGTGAACTTCGCATGTCCTAAGAATCCTGATGAGGAGATAATATTTTGGTTTGTTTTACTTCTTTTCAATCACTAGACCAACCTGCATTTCATTCAAATCATAAATCCATCAAACCTAAATGTTTGGTTTCAAGTAGTAGACTACTAATAAATAATATCTAGTAGTATATAATCTAACATGACCATGATTGATTAAATTTATATTCTACAATAATTTCAATATTTCAAACATTATGATGAATAATTGTGCGAGAACATGGGCCCGTTCATTTTATTACAATCATATCAGTCTATGACTAAAACTACTCCTTCAAAAATCGTTCTTATCATGATCATGATAAACTGGCGGCCTGCTTCAACATCTGGACTACCTGTTCCTGCCATCAACATATTTCAACAAGTCATCTAATTCTGTTGTTTTGTACATGATTATGTCTATCAATCACATAACACTTTCAGGTGTGTTTCTGAAGTGTTTACAATCCTTCGTTGTATAAGTTACGAAAGACCAGATCGGTAATATCGTGGTTGCTGACAATATGCAGCGAAAAGAATGTACATTATTTAGATGTCGATTGACTAAACTGTTAACTTTTAACTGTCGATCACTCAATATTCATCTTCCGGATCATCCAAGAAGTAAGAAACGGAAACTTGTTGAAATACAGTGTGCTGACAATTCTTTATTGTACCACAAATATACTATTGAATAAAGCCGATAATAATAATAATAAACAAATTAATAATATTATTAATAACTTCTAGATCACTGATCTGTCATCCAACCAATTCCATATTTCCATGTTCTCCCTTCTCATTTTCTAATTGTCTATCACACACTAACTTCCACATAACTATTTGTTGTCACATATCTTAACGTATGTCGTTACAAGAATATTTATCTGTTTGAAGAAACATTCTTCGCTGAATATACAAGAATCCGAAAAATATCTCAATTGTTTTGTTAGCCTTCGCAAATAAGGGGGTTTCCTGTACTACTCTTACTTCTCTTCACTCAACAATTCACTACGTCAAGCTCATTCATGATGCAACTAGGTGTCTCTGTTAGTCAGATATAAAAACTGATATCATAAATGACTGTCTCATTTAAATGTTTCATTGAAGACAATTTGAGTATTCATAATCCATACTGTTGGATCTTCGAATAATTCATAATGAAATGATTCCATTCATATTCATTCAATTGCGATAATAATAATAATTGTGTCTGGATTACCGTGAGTTCATAGTTCAATCTGACCAGTGTGATGAACACTCAGTTATATATTTCTCTATAATTATCAAGTATGTTACATAAAATATAGATTCGATTCAGCTGAAACTCTACACTTTGGTATCGTGATATGGTGGGTGATCAATTACAAATTGTTATGTGAGAAGGGGATTTGTGGAGGTTTTAGAAATTTTACTGATTGAAATCATGAGTCAATTGAAGCTAGACCACCATGGAAAACCTGGAAACACATCTGGAACTCAAAACAATTGTCAACCAACACCTAAGTCAAAATTCTCAATAAAAATGTCAAGACGGTTCTATTGTTTAAGGCAAAAACTTGAATAATTAGGAAAACCATCATCTAGAAGATACAAATATTCATTGACAATTGACTATGTGAAATACTTCGGATCTGTTGGCCAGCAACAACCTGCAATGGGAGAGAATAAACCATATTCAAGCGGAGTAAAGGATATATAAGAAGAGAATTAAGATTTATATTTTATCAGTTGAGTCAAACACATCTATATCCAAAATACATATCAGTCAATCAGTCAGTTACAACGTAGAACCAGGCACATAGACTATAAGTAACAGTTTTGATGATATGGATTTATAAGCCAGTGAATTATGTACGTAACGATGAACACTATAAATTACTACAATCAACAATTTCCATCATGTTTATGATAAGAATTATTAAGTCGCCTAATCATTTTCACCATCATCTCATCATTATCCGACTATTTTTTCGTGTGTTATAGACTATATTACTTACTATATACGAATATTCGTCAATATTAGAACGAATAGTTTGACAACAAATGAGCGCTGACTATAGACAAGCCATTACTTAGGAAAATTATATTTGAAATAATCTCAGTGATTGAAATTTACAATCATTCCAACGTGTCGTCCTGCAAACTTGTCTGGACTTCTTCAGGAAAAAAATCAAACTCATCAAAGAAACATATGGTGTATAGTAATCATATATCAAATCAAATCTATTCTGTGCTAATTCAATGATATTTGAATATTGACCTTACTTACTTACTTACTTATTTACTTACGTCTTTTACCACCAATGGAGCATAGGACGCCTCCAACACACACTGTGCTGGGCACTCCTTTCTTCTTCTTCTTCTTCTTCTTCTTCTTCTCTTTCTATCCATTCGCTCTTCATTCTTCTCATGAATGTATTTTCTATTTCTCAGCATAATGTTTACTTTGATCTTCCTCTTCTCCTTTGCACTTAAGGATTCCAAGAGAGAGCTTGCCTTATGATGCAGTTGAGTTTGTATTCATTTTACATTTAAGACAATGTTGTTTTAAGAACTGATAAACTTTCTTATAAAACAGTAATGAACACGACTAATCATAAAGTAGAAACTTTGGACAAAATGAAAGTAGAATTCATACAACTCAATCATCCAATATCACACCATTTTGTCTATTCTTTATGAACATTGGCTTCAACAATACACAAGTGAATGACACGTTTGGCGTCACATCCTTCTGTGAAGTACGGTCGATTGATTGTACATTCCTCGTTTTCAGACAGCCTGAAGAA